CGAGGCGGGGGGTGGGGCGGGGCGGGCGGCAGAGGCTCGCCCGGCAAGTTTGGGGGAGGGGGAGGGTTGACAGGGGCCGCCGCACCCGCCGCACCCGCTGGACGACTCTCTCCGGACGACCCCAGCCCGCGGGCACCGGCCCCTTGTCCTGCCTGCAGGACGACTGGGAGAACTGGTCCGAGATGGTTGCAAAGTACGGGAAGGACGTGCAGATCGTCGGCGACGACCTCACCGTCACGAACCCGACCAAGATCGCGGTGAGGAGACCCCTCGCCCCCTCCCACGCCTGGCCCTCCCCGGCCGCTTCCCCCGTCCCGCTTCTGCTCCTCCGGCGGCGCACTCGAGCCGCTGACGCCGGGCCTCGCCCCTCCCCCCCCGCCGCTCTGCAGCGCGCGGTCAAGGACAGCGCGGCCAACGCGCTGCTGCTCAAGGTGAACCAGATCGGCTCCATCACCGAGGCGATCCAGGCCGTCAAGGACGCGAAGGCGGCCGGCTGGGGCGTGATGACCTCCCACCGCTCCGGCGAGACGGAGGACACCTACATCGCCGACCTCGCCGTCGGCCTCTGCACCGGCCAAATCAAGACGGGCGCGCCTTGCCGCTCGGAGCGGCTCGCAAAGTGCGCCACGCCTGCCCGTCGCGGGAGCGGCGTGCGGCGCGCTTGCCCCTCAGCCGCGGTGCCTCGCGCTAGGTACAACCAGCTGCTGCGCATCGAGGAGGAGCTGGGCGCCTCGGCGCCATACGCCGGAGCGGGCTTCCGCACGCCTCTGTGGATGAACGAGTAGACAGGACTGCTCCTCTGAGGAGTCATCGGCCAACCCCTTTGCCCATCCTCCGCTGCGCGCGCGCCGGGGGGCGCGCGCCAGCGCGATTGCGCCGCCCCGCGCGCCGGCCGCAGTGCGCAGAGGTGCCACTGCCAGAGGCCGCCAGACCCAGAGCGCAGAGCCAGAGCGCAGAGGCCCAAATGGTCCGTCTCCGAAATGCTTGTGTTCCTCCCACTCGCTCTTTTCCGTACCGATTCTTATTACTGGCGTATGGTAATGACAACGTACAGAAGAACATGCGCACAGAACTCTCATACTGACTCCCCGACATAACGCGTCCCCAGGCGCGCCGTGATCATTTTCCGGCTCCGCGCTGCGCCACACACTGCCCGACACTCCCGCTCAGTCCTTGTCCTTCTTCTTCTTTTTCTTCTTCTTCGGCTCCTCGGCCGCGGCCTCGTCGGCCGCCTCGCGCTTCTTCTTCTTCTTCTCCTTCTTGCCCTCCTTGTCGGGCTTTCCGCCTGCCTCGGCCCGCAGCTCGTCCAGCACCTCCCTCATCGCGTCGACGTTCTTCTTGGGCGCCTCGCCAGAGTCGTAGAAGCGCAGCCGCTGCTCCACCTGCTCCTTGAGCTTGTCCCCGAACTTGGAGGTCGGCTCGTCCGAAAAGTTGTCGATCCGGCACGCGATGGAGCACTTGTTTGCGAGGTAGCGCGAGATGCGGCCCTTGTTCTTTGCGGCGGCGCGGCCGATGAAGGAGGAGTGGAAGATGAGCCCGTACTTGGGCGTGTTGCCCTTCGTCTTGAGCGCGCGGAAGAGCGCCTTCTCGGCGCCCAGGATCTGCACAGTCGATGCGGGGTACTTTGACAGGTTGGTCAGCGAGCCCGCGTGCGAGATGAGCCGCGCGCCGACCTGGTCGCCTGGGGGAGAGGGGGAAGGGGGGAGGGGGGGGGGGGGGGGGTCACCCCGCAGGAGGGAAAAGAGGGGGGGGGGGGGGGGGGGTTCGCTTTCGGCCTCAGCCTCAGCCTCGCGAATTGGGTGTGCGGCGTGTGGAGCGCGCCGATCAGGGCTTGCAGGTTTGGCGCGACGGCATTCATCTTGTTGTGCAGGTACTCCTGCAGGGAGCGGCGGTATTCCGCGAGCTTCATCACGCGCTGCGCAAAGGTCTCGATGTTGAGCAGGTCGATGTCCGAGATGTCCATCCCCATCGAGTGCTTTGACGCGTCGAGCACCGCCTTTGCCTTGTCGGCGTCCATCACGACGCGCTCGAGCTCCGGCAGCCGCTCCGTCGAGAGCGAGTCGCGCCGCCGGATGAGTGTGACGAGCGCGGCGTACATGTAGTTATCGGACACGATCTTGAGCAGCTCCGGGAAGTGCCACGAGTACCACTCGCGCACGCGCATCGCGAAGGTGTTGATGTCCTTGTCGAGCGTGTCGAGGATCGCTATCGACTGGATGATGTGCTTGTCGGCGCGGTTGACATCAAACTTGACCTTGCAGCGCGAGTAGGAGTGGGCGAGGCCCAGCTGCGCGCGCTCCACGTCGCCCGTCCGCAGCCCGGACAGGAAGGTCGAGATGTGCACCCGGCAGCCCCGCAGCAGCTCGCGCGTGAGGTCGTTGCACACGACCGGCGTGCCGAGCTCCTCCTGGATGGCCTTGCCGATCTTCTCCTCGCCGACGCCGAGGGCCGCCTTGGCCTTCTTGCCCGCCTTGGCGGCGGGCACATTCGTCTCCACCGCCGTCCGCAGCACCGGGGAGAGCACACCCTCCCCCAAGTCGTTGATATTTTCGAGGGCGTCCTCTGCCGACGTAAACGGCATAAAGCCGCGGAGCGCGCAAATCTTGGAGAAGCGAGAAAAGTCGGGCGTCGCCTTCTGTGCGTCCGCCAGCTCGGCGCCAATCTCGTCCGACTCCTTTCGGTCGAAGATGGCAAAGCCCATCGCCGTCTCCAGCAGCAGGAACCGGACCTCAACCTACAGCGGAGCTCCGGAGAGAGCTGTGCGCACGCGCGCACGCGGCAGGGCGGAGCGGCGGGCGCATGGAGAGAGACGACGGTGCGCGCGGGGGGCGGCGGCCGACGCACCATGGCAGATCCCCCCTTCCGACGCGAGCTCGTGTGCTGTAGCTCGCGGTGGCGGCGAGGAGCGGCACGATCCTGAACCTGCCTATGGCGAACCGGGAAGAAAACCGCGCTGCGCTCGCATCCCTCCCTTGGGTTGTCTGTTTTCTTTCTTTCTTTGGGTGATCTATGGTGCAGCGACTCAGGAATTTCGGTGGCCGCAGAGGGCGCGCGCCATTTGCGGTCCGAGCGCGCCGACGCGTTTCAACAAATTGCTAACGTGTGAGTGTTAGAGTTGTTTGGTATTGCCTTACACGCCTGTAACCTCTCTTTAAGGTATTGCTAAAAATCTCAAGAAGTTTATTAACCAACAAGATTTCTTGTTGGTTAATAAAAAGCTCTCAAAAATCTCTCTCTCGCGTTTCTTTCTCGGTCGTGGGGTGCAAGGAGCGTGGCCGTCAGGCAGGTGGACGGAGGACCGCTCGACCACTCGACTGGAAAGGGTTTTGTTTGTTTTTGGGTCAAAGACCACGCGTATGGAGACGGGTGGGTCAAGAAGAATGCAGGCTGGAAGTTGATGGGGGCGCAGTCAGGGCGCAGTACTCCGACGCGTTGCCCCCTGACACAGTTAACACAAAAACCATTGTTATGGTGTTATGGCTCTCTCTCTTGGGCATAGCAGCCCATAACATGTTAGGGGCCCCATAACAGCCATAACACCCATAACATGTTTATGGGCTGCTATGAGAGAGCCGTCCCGGGTCCACGGTGTTATGGCCCGAGAGGCCACGCCGAACTGCTCGCCGCTGGAATTTTCGCTTCGCGCGCTGGCGCGCGAGGTTCGGCATCTTAGGGTACCCCCTAGGCGCTAGGGTTCTGAGGGCCGGATTGTTTTAAGACCTTTTAAGAAATGAGGAGATTTGGGGGCTCAAATTGTCAGGCGCTCGAGCCGGCGCGCAGTGGAGGGGGCGCCGCGCAGGGGGATCGGGGGGGTGCGAGAGGGGGCGTGGGTCGGGCGCGCACCGGCCGGCTCCGGGAGCGGCCGTCACGTCGAAGAGGGGACCTGGTGCTGTGCTCGAATGACGACGCATGCCGCTCTGCTGCGCCGCCGATAGCCCCTCTTCCGAGCCGGCGCGTGGCGGCGAGCCGCGGCCAGTATCGCTGGTGCGGTGGAGGCGGCAGCTTGCATCGGCCAGCAGCGGGTGCGGCCATCACGTCGATGAGGGGGGGTTGTCGGCGACTCGTGTGGCTCGAGGCCTACGCTGCGCCGCCCAAGCCCTACTGCCGATCCAGCGCCTGGCGTTTGGGGCGAGCCGCGGTCCTCGCTGATGGTATATGGCGGCGGCGGCGGCGGCTCGCCCTTCCCTCCGGCCGCAATTCCGATCCCGCCGCGCTCGCGGGAGGTGGCGCGTACACCTTACGCCCTTTCTCCTCAACGGCTATCCGTGCTTGCTGTGCCCCTGCGTGGTGTGTAATCAAGTTCTTACAACCCAAGGTGATAGAGGGCAAAAAGATCGATTGCGCTCTTGCCGATCCGCACCTACCTAGGCTCTTCTTGGGTGGCGCGCCCCCGCTCTTCACGGCGAAGTTGGTTTCTTTCTCGAGTTGCTGCTGTCTCCCGTGGTGTACCTGTGTTAGTGCCAGTGCGCGCCAGTCCCGTGCCCAGTGTTGCGCCAGGGCATTGTAAAATTCTTTTTCGAGTTGCTGCTGTCCTGAGGTGCCTTGATACAGCGGTGACGCGAATGAACGAGACGATCGCGCCCCCCGACGAGACGGCCGCGGCCGAGCCCTCCACGGAGCCCTCCGCCGAGACTGCCGCGCCCGCCGAAACGCCCGCCGCCGAGCCCACCACCGAGCCTGCCGCGGAGCCCGCTGCGCCCGCCGCAAGCGACTCGACCACCCCGGCCTTTGGTGAGGCGGCGGGCGAGCCGGCGTTCGGCGCCGCGGTGAGCGAGGCCGGCGGCGCCGATGGCGCCCCGGCGCCATCCTCCGATCCCGCGGCGGCGGGTATCACGCCCGCGGCGCCCGTGGCCGCCCCAGACGCGGCGGCGGCGACGGCTGCGGGTGCGGCGGCGCCGGGGGCGCTCGTCGGCGGCGGGAGCAGCCTTGCCGCGGCGGCCGCGGCCACCGAAGCGCAGCTCGCCGCCGCCCAGGCCGAGCTCGCCGCCGCGACGGCCGCTGCGGGCGGTGGGCTCGGAGGGCTCGGGGTCGGCCTCGGGGGCATGATGGGGGCGATGCCGGGCATGCCGGGCATGCCGGGCATGCCGGGCATGCCGGGGATGGGCGCCTACGGCATGCCCGGCCTCGGAGGCATGCCGCCCGGCATGGTGGGGCTCGGCGCCTACGGGATGGGCGCCCTCGGAGGGTACGGCGGCGCCCCTCCGCCGATGACAGCTCCGCCGCCAGACGGGACGAGCGCTGCTGCGCCGGAGGGGGGGTGGGCGCGGCTGATCGAGGGGTACCCGGCGTGGTCGAACGCCGCCGTCGCGATCGGCAAGCGCATGCAGCAGCTCGAGGCGCAGCCCGGCGTCGTGCGGCACGAGCTCAAGGTAGCCAAGCCCCTCGTGGGGAGGCTGATCGGGGTGGGGGGGGCGACGTACCGCGAGCTGCAGCAGCGGACGGGCGCCCACCTGTT